AGGCGCCCAGGCTAGAGAAGGGTGGTCCCATCAGGTAGTGCCACACATGAGCTGGCTAAGTGGCCGCTGGGGCACCTCTTACTATGAGCCCCACTCTGAGAGCTCCTCTGACCAGGAGGGGGTGCTGCCACCCTGGCTGATATGCTGGGGGTGGAGTGGCCACTGGAGGCCCAGCAGGGGTCTCTGTGTCAGCCAGGCACAGGGGCCCAACGGAAGTTGACCAGCCCGAGGGGACTCTGCGGAGCCAGAGCACCACAGTGGGGTCTGTGCATGGTGGACATGGACTAGGGTTTGCTTACAGCTGGGAGGTGTGGGGCAAAGACAGCTTCCAAGGGGTCAGGACCCCGGATCAGCGGCCATGTGTTCAGCTGGTCTGCCTTTTTAAAGACAGGGTGTGCCTCAGGTGACAGTGCAGACTGGACCAGAAGAGGAGACCTTCTCCTCCCAGTGACCTGCACTGGCTGGGTAGGGTGGTGCACGAGAGACAGCAGAGGCAGCTGGACTGACCTGGACCCAAACTGTGAAGGTGGCAGAATGGACTTTGATGTCCCTTCCTAACCTTCAAGGCTGGGCTGCAATGTCACCACCTCCTGGAAGCCTCCCCTGACCTCCCCAGGTAGAGCAATCTTGTACCCCTTTGTGACTCCATTGTGCTCTCTCATACTTTTATTCTGATACTTACTATATGGGATCTCATTCTTTTTGCTCTCTAGTCCATCATTCCAGATGGATTAGGGGCTTGTCAATGATAGGCTCTGCCCATCTTGTCTTTGTGTCTCCCTGACTGGCATAAGCAGGGCCAGGGGGATGCTCCGAGTTGTCCAATGATGAGTAAGCAAGTAGACAAATAAAGGAAGAATCTGTCTCCCCTCTCAGGTGGGGCTCTGTCTTACTCATCCTTTCTTCCCTCCAAGAATCCTCAGGTTAAATAAACCACCCTTTCCAGCCTGCTCAGGGCACAAAGTCCTCAAATTCATAGCCCAAAGCAGACAGCCACCCACCCCCTGGGCATTCAGCTGGCTCCTCTGGGCGTTCCCTGCCACTTTATACGGTTCATCCACTTGCCAGCTGAGATATTAGTGCACTGCAGGGGTCAGTGGAGCCCAACGACCACACAGTTAATAGGGCAAAGCAATTCCAATTTCATGCCTACATGGGCTTTCCTCTATTAAGGCAAAGAGAGGGAACAAATCTTTTTTTATTCCTTCCAGAAAACAGGCAAAGGTATTACACAACAGAAGCTTAGGTAAGACTGCTGGCAGGCAGCAGAGGGGGCAGGTGGCTCATGTGAGACAGAACAGGGCTTTGGGGAAGAAGGATGTAGGTTGAAGGGGAAGGTGGCACAATGTGGTTGTCACCTGCTGATCTGGCCTGGATGGTTGTACTGACGAATACCCGAGAGCCTTCAACCCTTGAAAATTATCTGCCTCAGTGTTGCTATCCACTAGAAAAATGCAAATATTTATTGAAGGCATGGATCATGTATTTGTTAGATTTTTTAAAAGAGAGATTGCTGGGAGGAGTCATTTGGGCTTCCCAGTTGAAATGAGAGTATGTGACATGGTGGATGGGAAATGAAGATTCTAGAATGTCAAGTTCAGAATGTGGAGCTGTGCCGATTACAAAAATGGCCCTAATTCTGCCTCCTACCCTGTAGCCACACATGATGTCATGTGACTTTGTAGCCTTTCTTATCAAAAAAGCACAATCTGTTTCTCTACCCCTTGAATCTGGGCTGCCCTAATGACTGGCTTTGGCCACAAAATGAAGCAGCGGTGACAGAGTGCAAGTTCCCTGAGGCCAGAGGAGGCCTTCTGCGCTTGGGCTTTCTCTCTGGCTCCTCCCCTTCACTGGTCTAGCCTGCCGGAGGGTGGGACACTTTATGGGGCACAGCTGAGTCATTCAGCAAGCTACCTGACCCCAGCCAGCTCCCACCTGACCCACCAGCTGGCTGATGGCAGATGCAAGAGGGAGCCCCTCGTCAATTAACCAAACCTGGCCCAGGTCAGCAACTGACCACAGCCCAAGGAGAAGTAATAAAAGCTGTTATTTTTGTCACTATGTTTTGGGGATGTTCATTATACAGCATCAGTGCAGCAATAGATAGCTGTTCCAAGCGTCATATGATAGCAATCCTATTCAATCTGCAACATTCTTTGCACGGCTTGACCCATGGTGAATGATTAAGAAATATTTATTGAGTGAATTAGTGTGCTTTTGAAGGCACTGATAGAATTAGCCTTTTCCCTGAATATATATTATGTTGTCCTGCCCCTAAGCCTTTGCTTGTTCTGTTCTGTCTAGAATATTCTCCTCCATTCTCTGCCTGGCCAACCTCTGTTTTTCCTTTAAAGTTCTGCTCCTATGTCATCTTTTCTCTTTAGTCTCCCCTGACCCATTTCTCCTACCCCAACAGAATAAATCTCCCTCCTCAGCGCTCCACAGCACCAGCGAAGCTTCTGGACTGAACACCCTCACAGTGTGAGTTACCCCGGTTAGTTGATGTTCTCCCCTCACCGCCCTTGTGCGCTCCTTCAGGGAGGACAGCGTGTCTCTGCAGCCGGGTGCCTAGCACAGGGCTTGGCCCATAGTGGGTCCTTGCGGGAGAGGGTGTTGCTGATTCATTCATTCATTCACTCACTCAACAAATAGTTGTGAATGCCTGCCACATGCCGGGCTCTGGGCTAAGTGCTGAGAATGTGAAGGATACAGATATAGTCCCCACGCCCACAGGGTGACATTCCGGCCTAGAGGATGGGGAAGACTGTCCACATAAATATGTAAACTGGAAAAGCATGAGAATGTGCTCTGCAGAGAATGAAGTTAAGGATAGCACTGCGGTCGGGCAGTTTCCTCCCAAGAGGTGGCAGTTAAGCTGCCACGGAAGTGGCAGAGAGGGGTCAGCCCTGCCAAGCTCCAGGGTAAGAGAATGCTGGGCAGAGAGAACAGGTGGAGCAAAAGCCCTGAGGCAGGAATGGGCTCAAAGAGTTTGAGCAATGGACAGGTGAGCGAAAGAAGCCAGATGCTTGTGAGGGAGACAGCCAACAGGCAGGGCTGCACCCATCTGACCTGCAGAGGGGTTTGGGCTTATTTCCTGGGTGACGGTACCTTAGTCTGTTTCGGCTGCTGTAACAAAACACCACAGACTGGGTGGCTTATAAACAACGGAAATTTATTTCTCACAGTCCTGGACTCTGGGAAGTCCAAGATCAGGGTGCCAACATGGCCAGGTTCTAATGAAGGCCCTCTTCCAGGCTGTAGGTTGCCAACTTCTTGGTGGGTCATCGCATGGTGGAAAGGGTCAGCGAGCTCTCTGGGGTCTCATTATGAGGGCACTGATCCCATTCATGAGGCCTCTACTCTGGACCTCAGCCCTCCCAGGGCCCCCCACCAATGCTAGCACATGGGGGGTTAGTGTTCAACAAGTGACTTTTTAGGGGGAAACCATTTAGTCTATACAGATGGTAAAGTACTGGAGGGTTCTGAGTTGGAGGACACCATGGAATGATTATATTTAAAAGGATCCCCTGGCTGCTGTGGGGGGACCACACTGTGGCAGGGACAGGCAAGAGGGACGTCTGAGGACTAGATGGGAGGCTGAGGTGGATATACTGGCAAGAGGTAGCTTTGGGTGGTGGCAGTGGAGGAAACGAGTACATTCAGGATGAATTTGGAGAGTGAAAAGCTGTTTGGATTGGATGTGGAAGGATGAATGAAGGATAAATGTTTGGTCAACTGGGTTGATGGTGGTACCATTTCCTGAGAGGGAGAAGGCCGTGGAAGGGGCATGGTGTGGAAGGGAGAATCAAAAGTCGAGTCTCAGATACATGAAGTTAGAAATGCATATTAGACATGCAATGTGGAGGGAGGTGCATTGTAAGAAGTTGGATATCTGAGTCTGGATTTCCAGGGAAAATCTAGGGAATCAGAAATTTGGGACTCAGTGTGCAAATTAGTTGAACTGGTCAGAGGCAAAGGGGCTGGAATGACAGCAAGGGACAGAGCCACTCTTAATTCCTGGCCCAGGGTGTCTAGGGCCCGTAGTTTTTTAGACATGGGTTCCACTTCCCTAGGACATATGCACAAAGGCCTCAGTGACCATCTCCTGGCTGGGAGGGGATGGGGAACCCAGGGCGCTCTAATGCAGCAGAGGTGGGTGAGGGTCATCCTGGGGCCTCCCAGCCCTCCTTCCTCTGGCTTCTTGGGCCTGGGCTTCCCCGTGGTATACACACTGTTTTGTTTTCATTGCTCCCTTTGTTCTTCCATGGTACATGGGAAGGCTGTATCTCCCAGTATCCCTTGCAGTTAGGTTGGGGCCATGTGACTACTCTGGCCAATGAGATGTGCGCAGAGGTGGTCTGTGGCACCACTATGGCTCTTAAAAACATCCTGTATGATGGTGTGAGCTTCCTATTGCTGTTGGAATAAACTGTCACAAACTCAGCAGCTTAGAACAATGCAAATATATGCCCTTAGAGTCCTGGAGGTCAGAAGTCTGAAATGAGTCCTATGGCACCAAAAGGGCTGTCAGGGTCAGTTCCTTCTTGAGGCTTTAGGGGAGAATCTCATGATGTGATTAATTTGTGGATCTTGAGGTGGGGGATTATCCTGGATTTTTCAAGTGGGCCCAGTGTAATCATAAGGGCCCCAAACCACTGCATTCTGTACATGAACATATCATGAATGTTTGTTGTCCCATGTCGCTGAGATTTGGGTTGGTTTGTTACACAGCAATGTTGTGGCAATAGCTGACTGTTATACTTGGCCCAGAGGAATCTTGGATTTCCTGAGTCCATGGCCACTTCCAATATCCACTGTCAGGATCTGGGTGAGACAATGAGCTGCACTTCCCCGCTCGCCCAGGGGAGGAGCATGTCTTCCATGTCCTTTGTCACACCCGGTCCCCACACCAGCGCCTGTTCCAATGTTGGATGGCAGGGAATGCCTGGTTGCTGCTCTAGAATAAAGGAAGAATACAGAGCCACAGACCAAGGTGGGGGAAATTGTTCTGTTTTAATTAAACCGAGTGAAGAAGCCAAGACACATACAGAAAGAGACTAAGAACAGGACTGGAAATCGTTTAGAAAAGAAATGAAAACCGATCGCAGAGATGTCAGTGCTGGGTGGAGTGGTGGGCGCGGGGTCCCAGCCTTCACGTCAGCTCCAGGATCACTGTTAGGGCAAGCACCAAGGTGAGCCAGACACCAGCAGGGCCAGAAGCAGAACCTGTGCCAGGCAGCAGGGAGCAAGGTCAGGGCACGGCAGGGTGTGGGGCCTAGGAAGGGCAGAGCTACAGAGGCCCCGGCAAAGAGCCTAGGGTCAGCGTCAGGATACACTGGGCTCACATCCCAGCCCTGCCACCTGTCTCACCTAACTGTGCACGATCCCTTCCCTGTGTCAGGCCTGCCGGACCAAGAATAGCTCCCTGCTGGCCATCAGGACACTCCATTGGGGACTAGGAGTGGGGGCCTCTACTGTGAGCTGTGAGATTGGCTCAGTGTGGGGAGGGGATGCCTGGTGGGCTGGGAAGCAGTCTCTGGATCCCATGGGGTGGCGTCCCAGGGAGGGAGGTACAAAGGGCCCCAGTGGAGGCATCTCTCTGTGCTCCCAGCTGCCCTGCAGAGTGGTCCAAGGGCCCAGAACACAGCTCATGGTCAATGCTGGACAGGACGCTTTCTCTTGGGGCCAGAGAGGCTGAGCTCTCTGAGCTGAGGCAGCTGGAGTTACTATGGATGGGGTGGGCTCACTTGGTCCCTGAAACTCTCCACCAGTTCATGTGGGGTATTGAGTACCCTCTTTTGGCCTCAGTGTCCACTCCTGACCACCTTTGACCAAGACTGCCCACACTCCCTAGAGGACAATCACCTGCCTGAGGCTGGAAGGAGGGGAAGGGTCTGCAGATGGGTGGCTCGGGGGCCAGAGCTTTCTGGAGCCTGGAGAATCACTCACTCTGAGAGTGGAGACTTACCATTGGAGTCCTCTGTTCCTCTTGGAATATTTGGGTTTTCTGTCAGAAAGAATAGAAAGAGACCTAAAGAGTGGGTGGCACTGGGAACTCAGGAAAGGAGGTCCCCTTTGCCCAGCACCTGCTATGTGGTATCACACGCACTTTCTCAGGGCAGCCACACTGTGGGCTGGTTTAGTGTCAGATGGGGAAACTGAGGGAGGTAAAGTAGTTTGTCCAAGATTGCATAGCTGCTAAGTGGTAGATCTGGGATTTGAACCCAGAACTCTCTGGTTTTAACCTCTGAACTACAGGGCCTCCCTGTGGGGTGCCCTCTCAGGGCAAATTCAGGGGACTCAGGCCGTTGCTGCTCCCTCCTGCTTGGGACAGCTCCGGGCAGGGCCCGCCCTGGCTATCCTCTGACCCCCAGCAGGGCAGGGCGTACCGAACACAATGAGCCGGGTGTGTGTGTCAGTGGCGCCCAGGGGGTTCTGGGCTGTGCAGCGGTACATGGAGCCGTTAAGCTCGGCGGGAACCCGCTCCAACACAAGCTCCTTCCCGTCGAACTCGGTGCTGCCATCCAGGAGGCGGCTCCCGACCCGTGTCCACGTGAACATGGGCTCCGGGAAGACTTCGTTCTGTTGGCCAGAGCAGATGAGAGTCCGGTCACAGGAGGAACCTTTCGGCCAGAGCAGGAAGGGGTCAAAGTATGGCCTGGCCAGGGCTGGCAACGCACGCTCGAAGAGAAAGGCTCTAGGGCTGGAAAGAATGTCCCCCAAGCGCTATGTCCTCTCTGAGCCCTGGACGGGAGAGCCACAACGTGGGCTTCTCCAGCCAGGCCTCATCCAAACTGAACATGCTGCTATGGATGCTGGTGCCCCTCCCACCTCTCCCTGCCCAGATACTGAGAGACAGGCTGACCTGAAATCCGTGGACCAGAATCCTCACAGTGTCCCCGACCCGGGCTCTGCTGGGTGTCATCACGATTTGGGGTCCTTTGGGGGCCACTGCAGGGAGAGGAAGGTCAGGTCAGTCTGAGGGAGGGGCACTGAGCCAGGAAAGGAAGGGCAGGGGAGACCCAGTCCTTGGGATTGACTGCCGCTGGGCTAGGAGCTACGTGGGGGCTCATTCATTCATTCACTCCTGCCTGCATTCATTCATACACGTTCCCTGAACCCCTGCAATGAGTCGCCCCTCTGGGACCTGGGGATTCAGTCATGTATAGAACATGACCCCTGCCCTGTGGGCTTCAGTCTCAGTGTGGAGTCAGGGAAACCCAAGGGAGGTGCTACCCGGCAGACGACTCAGCTGGGAATGGGGAGAGGCCCTCCTGCAGCCACGACTGCTCAAAGCATCCCAAAGGCCTTCCTGCACCAACCCTTGTGAGGTGGGGCTCTGCCGTACCTCCTCCACTGTATAGCTGAGTTAACTGAGGCCCAGAGAGGGCACGTGACTTGTCGAAGGTCACAAGGTGAGGAACCGCCAGACCGAAATTCGGGTCTCCTCCCTCTGGCTCGAGGGCTCCCTCTACCAGGCTCACCTCCCCCAGTGGGGTTTTTCTGGGATCTCTAGGTTGGAGGTGGGTGGGGGTACACAGGTGTGGGGGGACCATCTCCTTCCTTGAGGCTTTGTCTCCCTGTCCCTCTGTCTCACATCCTTGACTCGAGCCCCTTTCCATCTCTGAGCTTGGGAGACAAAATGCCCAAGGGCGTTGTTATCTTGTGAACAGAGCATCAGGATGGGAGAGCCGCCCGGGCCACTGAGTCCATCCCCGCAGGGTTCAGGCTGGGAAACTGAGGCCAGGGGAAGCAAAGGGGCTTATCCAAGGTCACCCCCAGAGCCCATTTCCTATTTTTCCTGACATTCAGGCCAAGAGTCTTTCCCCCAGATTCATTCATTCACTCAGCAAGTAATTACTGAGCCAATCACATGCCAGGCTTTGAAGCAGCCTTGGGGATGGTGGCAAGCACTGAGGGCCTGTGCCGGTAGGAGCTTGTAGCTGAGGAGGCATTCTACACACAAACAAGTGCGTATCAGAGAGTGACAGCAGCACACAGGGGATCAGGCACGGCGAGTGGTGGTCAAGGTGCCTCTTCCAAGATGGGGATGTTTCAGCTGAGACACCACCAGGAGGGTTCCAGGTGGAGGGAACAGCTCGGGCCTGGCCCTGAGGCCAAAGGTCAGGAGGGTAATGCAGGTGGAGGCCAGGGACAGGTCCTACAGTGCCTCCCGGGCTGGAGGAAGGCCTCAGGGTTCTGATCCTACGGCCATGCTCTGTGCCTTCGCTGTGAACATCTTCCAGGGGTGGCAGAAGGAGGTGAAGCTTTGTCCCCAGGCCCTGGGCCTGTTCTGGGATCTCCCACCCAGCCCTGCCCTCTCCCCAAGCCTCTTTTTCCCACTCAGAGCTCTCTCTGAACAGAAATCAGAGCAGCTGGCAGATGTAGGTGGCCTCCCAGGAACTGCCAAGTTCATTCTCTGAGAATGAAACCAAAGGACTATTAATTAAACCGCGAGCGAGACATCTGAAGTGCCACATGGGGCTGAGGGACGCGTCAGTGGGAAGAGCGGCCCTGCTTCAAGGGGAGGGAACAGCAGAGAAGGTGGGGGTGGCTTCCACTTCTGCACCTACCCCCCAGTGTGAGGAAGTGGGGCCTGGCCTGGGGAACAGAGACCAAGTTCCAGTCTAGCCTGTGTGCCCTCGGATGAGTCACTTCACCTGGCTTTCCCCAAATGCAAAATAGGAACAGTGATCACAACCCTTATGCACCCACCACACTGGCTTGCTAGGAATGTTGGGAGATGGTGGGTTTGAGGACTAGCATCTGTTGAGAATGAACTAAGTGCCAGGCCTTGTGCATGATCTTATTTTAAGTCCCAACCTTTCGCGATTGTCCCCATAAAGAAGCCAAGGCTTAAGAGGGTCAAGTAACTTTCTCGCCTTCTTCATTGACTCTCAAGTGCTGGGAAGGTCCATTTGCAGGTGGAAAGCCCTGTGTAGGGCAGTGTGTCCTCGGCTTGTCCGTCAGCTGTGTCCGGCTGCGATGGCACCATCCTGCTGCAGCCGGCAGAGGGCGCAGAAGGGCATTTGCATGCTGGAGAAGTGTGAGCCGGGGAGCAAGCAGGCAAACTTTCCCCTCTGGTCAGAGTCCTCCCCGCCCTGTTTTCTAAAGGGCCTACCTAATCTGCCCAGGCTGGGGCCTGGGCCTACTGAGCCCCTGTTGTAGGACTGTCACACCCATCCTGGTGCTTATGAGGCAGGTTACCAGGAAACCCATTTCCCAGGCCATAAAACAGTCCCCTGAGGAGGGCAGTGACTTGCCCAAGGTCACACAGCAAGGAAGCGGGAAGAGCAGGGCTTGGTGGCACATAGTTCTTCAGAGGGCAGCTGGGAGCCAGGGGACGGAGGAGAGGGAGAGCTGCTTGCCTTCTGGGCAGCCAGACCCCCTCTCCCTGCTACCTGATCTGCCCGCTCCCGGAGGCTCCTGCGTGCAGCTGCCCCTGAGGAAGACAGCAGGTCAGGTGAGGAGGGGGCTTCTCTGCCCTCACCTGTCCGAGATGGATTGTGGCAGCTGCCGACAGTCAAGCACCGTTGCAGCTGATGGGCCCTCTGATGGCCGCCCTCACTGCTGCACAGAGACGGTGCTTCCGCAAGCCCGGCCAGCTGCTGTCACCCTCTCTGCTCCCACCGCCACCCTGAAGCCCATTAGCAGCTCCTGGCAGTCAAATCCTGGCCTCCCTTGCCTGCCCCTAAAACAGACCATCGTGACTACCTGAAAGCAATATTCTCAGCCCCTGGCCTTTCATTTCTCTCAACCCCTGGATACAGACACATAGCAGGAGCCCAGAGATGCACCCAGAGACGAGGCTGGGCCTTCTATTCTGACTGTGAGGTCTTATGGAAAATCTCCTCTAGGCTTTCCCCAGGGATTCTGGATGTTCACCAAGACAGCCATTCACCCATATCCCTGCTCATCCATCCATCCATCCCTGCCTCCCTCCCTCCATCCATCCATCCTTCTACCCTTCCCATCCATCTACCCTTCCATGCATCCACCATCCATCTGTCCATCCACCTACCCATCCACTCAGCCACCTATTCATTCATCTGCCTTCTTCATCTAGTTCTTTATTGCACACCTAATCTGTGTTGGTCAGTATGCAGGGCAATATTGGAAATACAATGATGGACAATAACAGTAGCTTATTCTTGCTGAATATTTACTCTGTTATTATGCTAAACTTTTGTAGGCACTGCCTTATTTAATCTTCACAGCAGCTCAGAAAAGTATTAATTAATTAATAATTAAACAGGTATTTATTAAGTAGTATTTTAGGGATTGTTCTGAGCCCTGTACCATGTGAACAAAGAAGATATATATAGACCCTGCAGACAAACAACTTTAATTCCAGCAGGAGATCTAGGCATTAAGAAAATATCTATCTGCAGATGGAGATAAATGCAATGAGAGAGGACAAAGTAAGGTGGGGAGTTGCTGGGGCCGGGAGGAAGAGGCTATTTGAGACAGGGTGTTCAAGAAAGGGCCCTTTGACTAGAAGATTCAAGCAGAAATCTGAAGGAAGGGGGGATTGGACATATCTGGGTAAGATTATTCTAGGCAGAAAGGAAGGCTGGTGCAAAGTCAGAGCTGAGCATATTCAAGGAAGATTAAGGGGGACCTGTGGCTGGAGCAGATCAGGGAGATGGAGAAGTGATAGATGGGCACCATCAGGATGTGGTTTTAAATACGGTAGCAGTCACAGGGAGAAAGGCACTGTTCTTAAGAACACAATATGACAAATCTTAATAAATGTGAAAGCCTATGTATCCGCCATCCCAATCAAACTCGAGAACATTCCCATCCTTCCAGAAGGTTCCCTCAGGCCTCCTACCAATCAGTTTCCACTCTCCATAGGTAAGCACTCGTCTGATTTCTGTCACCAGAGATTAGCTTTATGTTCTAGAAGTTCATATGCATAGAATCATGCAGTATGTCCTCTTTGCTGTCCGGCTTCTTTCACTCAGCATAAAGTTTTTGGGCTCTACCCATATTGTTGAGTGTACCAGTTCATTCATTCATTTGTATTGATGGGAAGTAGCCCATTGTATGAATGAACCATAAATTTGTTCATCCGTTTTCCTAATTATGGACATCTGGGCTACTTGTAGTTTTTATTGTTGTTGTTATGACTAAAGCTGCTATGAACATTCATGTCCCAATGTTTGTAGACATATATTTTCATTTCTCTTGGGTAAATCCTCGCTCCACTGCTTATGAGTTGATGGCTCAAGGAAAAGGACGCCACCCACCTGACCTCCAGAAGCCCCCTGGGCCCCCTGGCACAGGCTGGGGTCCGAACCCTCGCCAGCCATTGCTCTCTGTCCTTGGTCATGAGGGCCTGGGTTAGGGGCCGTGGATGGTTCCGTAGTCCCTCACCACTGCAGGAGGCTCAGAGGCAAGCCCAGGCATCCTGAGCTCGGGGAGGGGCTGCTCGGTGCTGCAGATCAAGGTCCAAAGGGTTGTGGGCAGAGAGAGCCAGAACTGGGTCATGGTGTCCATCTCCCTGCCCTAGTCAACCAGTCTAAGCACAAACTGGCTCAAGGGGTTTCTTGTGTTTCTGGCAGAGAAGATTCCACATGTCCCCTCTCCCTGCCTCCACTCGGGTGGGAGGAAATGCATAAGGGGGCACTGCTCTGGGGATGCCCTGGGTTGGTGCTGACAGAGGAGGAGGCAGGTCCAGAAGGGGGTTGGTTCTCAGACTGAGCCTGGGTGTCCATTTTCCTGGCTGTGCCCACCTGCCACATACCCACAGGAGGCACGGTTTTCATTGTACTTAGAAGTGTGAGCTGGAGCAGTGTGCTCCCACATCCTGTGTGTTCCTGACCCCGATCCCACAAAGCATCCTCTACCTTCCCATATTCCTGACTCTGATCTAGCAAGCTTCACAACCTAGTAACTGTCCCCTGAGCTCATGGGTCTCTTATTTGATCCAGAAAACCTCCTTGACACTTCCTATGCTCCCAACTGTGACTAAGAAAACCCTCCCTGACCTTTCTGTGACCTGACTCAGTACCCTCCCTGAAGAGTCTCGCCTCTTGTGCGTTCTTTCACTCACCCAGCAAATCTCCCTATGACTTCCATGTTGCATTTTCAATCTTAAAAATCTCCTGTTTCTTCTTCTGCATCCGTGGATGTTTTGCTGCCCTTGTCTAGCCTGGATTAATACTTAGTCCATAGGCACACACCTGATCATCTGATCATCTACATTTGCCCTCTTACAGCACTAAACTATGTTTTCTACCTTTATCTTGCATCTACCTACCACTTCAGCATTTTATTAAAAATAAAAATAATAATAATAATAGGAGAAATGTGGGATCAACATATAAATCAAGTACAAAAATCAAACGAATATTCATATTTGACCTGATTGTTTATAGGTCATAATGCATGATCAAAACCGAAAGTTTCTGTGATGAATGCCCTTGTACTGTTCACCATGTAAGAATTTATTCACTATGTAAGAATTCGTTCACCATGTAAGAACTTGTTCGTTATGCTTCAGAAGATTGGAGACTGACGAGAATTAGGCTTGAGATGGATTAATGATTGTACATTGAGCATTGACCCCCCTATACTGAATTTTATTGTTGTTAACAACCATTTGATCAATAAATATGAGAGATGCCCTCTCAAAAAAAAAAAAATCTCCTGTTTCTAACATTGATCTGCCAAAATTCTCTGATTTTTCCATATTCTTGATCCTGACTGACCAAACTCCCTGAATCTCTCGTGTTCCTGACCCTACCGAGCTAATGCCCCTGACCCCCGACTGCTCCTGTTCTCCAATCCAGCCCAGCAAACCTCCTGGAATGCCCCGACTTTGCTCCTGTACCTGACCCTGACCACTCTTTGCTCCATTTCCTTCCCATCTCCATGGTGACCAGCAGTCCAGGGATCCCATTCCAAGGCCCCCCACCATCCACCTCTTCAGGAGCCCTGCAGAATGGCACCCGCCAAGCCTTACCCAGCGTGACCTCTGCCTGCATGGGCATCGACAGTGCTGGGTGCTTGACCTCACAGCTGAAGAGGGCCTCATTGTCGATCTGTGGGTTGAGTGTCCAGGTGAGCAGGGCACGCACCTCCACGGTGCCATCGCTGCCCGGGCTGTGGCTGTGGCGCAGGAAGTAGACGGGCTCGGCACTGTGGACCCAGCGGGGGAACTCACGGCTCACCACCGTCTCTGGGATGTTCTCGGTGGTTGGCTGGAGAAGGGTGCTGGGATCTGGGGTCAGGCCTCGGGAGGGGCGCTCTGTGTAGGGACGCCCACCCTGGTTCTCTGCGTCCTGTAGGGACAGTGACCTCTGCATCTTGGTGTCATCCAGGTCACGGTGCAGGAGGCTGCGGAAGGGCCTGCTGTCCTGGAGGGGGCCATTGTTTGCAGCTGGTGGCTCCGACAGGGGCACTGCATCAATGGGGTCCCCATCTCTTTTGAAATAAACCTGAAATTGCAAGGAGGGTGTGAGAATAGATCTTGGAGGAATGACCTCGACCTCCCAGTGGGCTCTCAGAGGAACTGGTCACAGGATTTGGGTCTTTCTGGAGCCTCCCCCTCCTAGTAGCCCTCCAGATGGGTCCCCCTTGGGTCCTTTCCCTCCAGCACCCAATCAGCCCGAGTCAGCTTGGCTCAGTGGCGACACGCAGCCCCTGGTGGCCGAGGCTGAGCCCATCTCCATGAGCTTCCAGAGGGTGAACCTCTGAGAACCTCAGTTCCTTTACTTGTAAAGGGGAATAAGAGCACCTACCTCATAGGGCTTTTGGATGCTTAAATGAAATGTGCAGAAACAGGGGTCCTGAACACAGCCGTGGCACTAAGAGGGCGGTCTGTGCCCACCTCAGGAGAGCATGTAGGCAAGACGAAGGGCACTGGACAGAAAATGCTGGCTGTCAGAGGAAGCCTGAGGAGGGGAGGCTCTCCGGGTGTGCATTTGCGAGGTCTGGGAGACCAGGGTGTATGTGTGCGAGGGAGCTAGGTGCAGGGATGAGGTGAGAGGCAAAGCCTTCTCACTTTCTCTGCTCATGGGGAATGCAAGTTTTGAAAGGCAACATTTAATTTAATTTGCTGTCTTTTTATTTTGGTACATGAGCCCAGAGGCCAGTGGGGATTGGGTGTATTTTTTAACAAATCAGATAAATAAATCAATGGGAAATGAGAGGGGAGGGCAGGAAGCAGCCCCCCCTGGGACACTGGTGCAGGTTGGGGGAGAAAGGAGGCTGGAGGGAGGAGAGGTGCGGGGTGGTAAGTGAAATGCAGGACGCGGAGGATCTGTCAAGAGTTTATAGCTCTTATGCACATAATAGCCTGCTTTGGGTTTCTTTCTTTCTTTCTTTCTTTTTGAAAAGTGCTTCAAAAGCAGGTTTGTAATTTATATCAAAGGATTCTTTCAAGTTCTGACGTCCCAGGCAAACGTAAGATGCCTGGAATGTGGGGAGATGAAGATCTTATATATATATACACATATATATTTGAATATTTTATTGCTATGTCTTCATGGCAGAAGCAGGCAAGCTGGGGAAAGGGGTCTTCTCATGGCCCCAGGGCTGTGAGGAGCCTTTCTTTGTGCCCTGTGGAAAAAGTAGTTTTTCTTTGGAGAAAAGGACCAGCTTGTGTGATTTCAGCGAGGTCAGACCTCTTTATGGGCTCCAAAGAGGGAAGAACCAGGGGCCATGTCCTGCTCTCTCCAATTGTTGGCTTTGAAGCTGCCTTTTCATCTGTGTCCTTGGGACTACAAGGTATGGGGGAAGGGACAGCGGCCTCAGTAAAGGCTTGTCTTTGCCCCCCGCCTACTGCCCCACCTGTGCATGTGCGCACCTGCCCTACTGCTTCACCTGTGCCTCCGTGCATCTGCTTACGGCCCACCTGTGTCCGCACACCTGCCCCCTCCCTCACTGGTGCCTGTGCACACCTGCCTACTGCCCCATCTGCACCTCTGTGCACTGCTTACTGCCCTGTACTGGGTCCCTGCACCTGTTCACTGCCCTGTCCTGGGCAGCTGGGTCTGTCTGGGCCTGGATCCTGGAGTGAGGCTGTCCTAGGTCCCCAGGCCATCCCACTTGGCCATGCCTGTGAGACAGTCGGAGTCTAGAATGCCTCGCCTCTCTGCCTTGAACCCTAACCCTCCCTATCCAGCACACCAGCTCCACCCCTCACTAATCCTAGTGATAGATGAAACTCACAGGGTCCAGCCCCAAAGCGTTGTTCAATGTCAACACTGGAAGGGTCCTTGGGAGTATGGAGCCCATAGGTTCTCAGTACAGATTCAATAAGGGTTCCACAGAGGTGCTTTGGGGGTTACTAAGGGCAGTGTGCCCTCCCCTCCCTTTCAGACACTTTATACACGGGGCTTCTGTGTGTTTCATTTAGATCAAATGGTCCTGTTATTTCTAAAACAGATGAAAAACTCTAATACTGTCCACCCCATAAACCTCCTTATAGAAACAGAAACAAGGAGAGATCTCACTCGGGTCATTCAGTGTGCATGGCAGGCCGGGGCCAGAACCCCATTCTCCAGGTCTGTGCCTTGACAGCCTACCCCGCCCCCACCCCTTGAAGTGGCCACTGTAACAGCTCATGCACTGGCCCCACAGACCTCAGAGCACTTAGGCCGGGTCTGAGGAGTTGGCCAAAACAGGGGTCCTTTCTGCCTTCCCTCTTTCCCTTCCTCCCTCCCCCCGCAATGGTCTTGGAGCCACAAGACATGAACTTGAGTCCCAGCTCTGTCAGGAACACCGCGGGTCACACTGGACATGGCCCTCCTGCTCTCCGAGCCTCACTTCTCCATCCTGCTCAATAACTGGGGTAGGGGTGTGCTCAGTGCCGGGCTCCCCTAAAGCCTCCTCCCACTGTGCTGTGCGAGGGTCACAGGGTCCAGGAGAAGTGGGTGTCCTCAGCTCCGGGAGACTGGCAGCAAGAGACACATGGACACCTGGGCAGGTCAGATGAGTGGACAGGGTCAGACCAAGGCAGCTGGGGCGGAGTTCCCTTCTGCAGACCTCTTTCCATCATTCTGCAGAGTGGGCGCCATGGTGACCCCTGCAGCTGGACCAGCCACGAGGTGGGGGCGGTGACCCAGCGGGGGCTAGGGAGGGACTGGGCACCCGAGGGGTACTCACCATTGGTGCTGGTTTCCCTCCAGACACGATGCAGACCAGTGTGAAGTTCTGGGCTTGGTAGCGGCTGAAGGGGGCTGGCATGTCAGCGGCCACCACTTCAATAGAGGTGGGAGGAGCTACCCAGAAGGGAAGTAGAAGAGAAGACAAAGGCTTAGCTGGAAGATTCAGGAAGAGTTCACTGATTATCTGAGATGAGCCAGGTCCCACGCTGGGGGCAGAGGGGGGAATGTGGTACAACTCCTGGGGACACCACAAACCTCAGCTACAGTGAGAATGATGTTCCTGCTGGACATACAGACGAGCACCCTGCCTCAAGGGCTCTGAGGCATGGTGGGGAAGCATGAATCAAGGGATCACACAGTTACGTGCATCAGATACCAGGAGAAATAACTGAGTGTAAAGGGGGCCCTGCCCAAGCCTGTGGGAGTGACACTGTGCTGTGACCTGTAGAAATAAAAGGAGGCAGAGGACAAGTGTGGCAGGTGGAGGGAACAGCATGTGCGAAGGTCTGGCAGCATGTCAGCCTGGGCAGGGGTTTGGGAGGCAGGCTGTAGCTTTGGGGGGGCTAGGAGCCACAGATGTGCCCAGTGGGGCTGGGTGCTGTGCAGGGCACGGAACAGGGTGGCTGATGGTGGCTTACAGAACAGTGGTGTGCCGGGGCCAATCCTACCAGGCTGTACCGACTGACTGGTGTTCCTACCAGTGCATGAGAGCAGATGGTGATGTTTTCAGGAGCTTTGTGAACCAACATCCTGAAAAGGTTAAACTGAGCACAGTGGGCATCTTTACACCATGGAAACCAACCAATGCTACAAATCAGGGCTCTTTCATTTGTTTTCTTCCTTCCCCTGTCCCAGCCTCTGAGAGCAGGTTTACCAGCACACAACTGGTTATGAGTTTTTCCTGGTCCTGAGGGCCGTGGGGAGCCGTGGAAGGTTTTAAATGATCCAAGTTGCATTTTGAAGAGCCTGAACACACAGAGCATGACTTTGGGCTAGAGGGGCTAATGGCTCAGATGAGGGTGAGGACAGAAGTGGGAGAAGTGAGTGACTCTGAGGGACATTAGAGCCGGGAGTCTTCTCTCATTGCTCTCTTTCGGGACGTTGGCTTATTTTGGTTGCTCCCCCATCCCACCAGCTCACTTCTTTGCTGTCTTCGTGGGCCACCACTAGCTGGTATTACCAAAGCCAGCGGTCCCAGGCACACATGGAGCCAGCAGGCACTCCTGGGTGCAAATCCCGGCTAGGTCACCACCACCTCCATGTCCTTGGACAAGTTACCAAAACTGTGAGCCTTGAGTCCCCAGTCTGTGATATGGGAATGATACTCGGCAGACCTATCTGAAGGATGACCAGCTATTAGACAGGAAAGTGCGTAGCACATGGTGGGAACTCATTATTATTATTTCCTCAACCTCCTTGTAATCAGCACGACAGGAGCCAGAATCTTAGAACCTCATGTGGGAAAGGCTGTCAGTTCTGGCTTCTTCTCTGGCCCTGGGTCACGGGCAGGGGGGAAAGCAGAGGAAATGATGAGGTACGGGCCTTTCCTTCCTGCAGGGGGGTTTCACTCCACTTAGGTTTAATTAAATGCAACAAACATTTCCTGACACCTACTAGGTGCCGGGCACGATGCCAGGGGCTCGCAGTGATGGAAACAGATATGGCATTGAGAAGCTCCCAGTCTGGCGGGGGCGACAGACGCCTGGCAACTCTATTTTAAGGTCTAGTGACACAAAGCCAGGTATGAACCATTCATTCATTCAGCCAGCCCCTGCGTGCTGTTGGCAAGGGAAGCAGCACAGACAGGAAACAGTGGGGAACAATAGATGGAGAATTGTAATTAAGTGTACAATCGTTTGAAACATATGGTAAGTGGGGTAGGCATTCCAAGAGGGGAAAAATACACCAAAACACTTCGAACACCCAGAAGTTGCAGATACTGTGATTTAATTTTTCTAGAACTCGACTGAATATCTGGATTTCACAGCAAAAACCAACAGTGGCTAACACTTAACTTATTTAATCCTCACCATTAGGCTGTGAGGTGGGGTTAATTTATTCCCATTTTATAGATGGGGGAATTTAGGAGATAGAGTAATGTGCCCGGGTTCACGGCATCAGGATTTGAGCACAAGAGCCCAAGCTCTGACATGAAGCTGGACCACCTCAATCTTTGGAAAGAAAGAAGCTTTGATCTATTCTGAGCTCACTAGCACAAAGGACATGTTTTAGCCACCGGGAGCACTCATTTACCTGGCACATCTCAGCTTCCCGGAAGGCTTGTAATCCAGATCCCTTAGGAGCTGCTCCTGTGGGTGGCTTTACTTACTCAGTTGTCCCCAAGATTAAGGGACCACGCCAATTAGAGTTGAGCATAAAACTCTGGCTCTGCTCACGGTGGCATCTGTACAGATAGAAATATGCTCTCCAAGAATCCGAGAGGCTCAGAACTAAGCTGGGAGCATCTTTAAAACCCCTTGCCAATTCTTTCTTACTTTCATTGAACAAACAGGAATTGGCCACTAAACCCTTCCTTTCAGGGTTGCTTTGAGGAATAAATGAGATGAGGCTAATAAGATGCCTGGCACATAGTAAGTCTGCAGTGCAGTTCAGTAATGTAATGATTATTTGTATCACTTTTATGAGGCGGTAGTATGGGGCAGCGGTTGAGACCGTGGGCTCTAAATCAGACTACCCAGGGTTCAAAGACCAGCTGTAGCATTTCCTGGCTGTGTGACCTTGGATGAGTTCTTTAACCTCTCTGAAACTGTTTCTTTATCTGTAAAATGGAATTACAGAACACCTGTAAAGAGTCAATGAAGGGTACCTTAAAGTGCACCCAATACATGTCAGCTGCATTTATTAGGATTATTTTTTAACATTCCTTCTTTGAGGGCTCTTGCTACTGGCTGGTAGAATAAAACATGGTCTGTACCTTTGGGACATTCCTAGTATAATGAGGAGGTAAAAAAAAAAAATGCCCTGGCCTGCCACTGTCTACACAGGAAGCCACACACCCCACTTGGGTATTGAGCGTTTGAAATGTGGCTTTTTTTGAGTTCGTATGTGTTGTGTCAAATGCATACTAAATTTTGAAGACAATTTAAAAAGAATGTTAGGACAAACAAAAAAAGAACGTTAACTCTATCATTAATATTTTTTATTGGTCACATGTTGAAATAATAAACACATTATTAAAATTAATTTTGTCTTTAAAAACTTTTTTTAATGTGGCTATTAGAAAACTTAACAATTACCTATGTGCTTACATTATGTTTCCATTGAACAATGCTAACAGACCTTTGTTTTTATAGGTAAGCCTACAGCCGCACCGTAAGTCATTGACAGAGCCTGGACTGGCACCCAGGCCTTCCCAATCCTGGCCAGGGAATTTGCACAGCACGGTGCCCTCCTATCCCCCCACCCCAACACACACACACCTGTGTGTGCACACAGCCCCACTCTGGAGATCTGCACCCAAGTCACGCGCACCACCCACGCAGACCCTGATTGGGAGATGTGTTCCGTCCCTCGTTATATTTCCGAGCAGGTGTTAGCAATATGTACAGTTAATCAAGCTCATAAGACAATAACGGATTTCAGTTGTATGGACGATGACACGGCAGAGCTGCTAATATCAGCGCGGATGGCCCAGACTTCCCACACTTTCCCCACCAACATGTTCCTCAGTCGCTGTGTCCTCAGAAAATGTCACTCTGCATCTCGCCTCCTGTCTCCTGGTGGAGGGCTCTGAGTGCAGGCAGTCAGGGAGCCGTCTACACCCGGGAGTCCCTGGCTGCTTACAGATGCTTCCCTCCACACGTCACCTCACTGTCTCTTCCCTCCTCCTCTTTCCCTTATAGCAACTCCCCTGCCCCCGTGGCTTCTGCAGCCTTCCTTCACTCTTCTTCTTCCCTGCCCACCCCCCTCTCACCCCCATCCCTTGTCCCTTTCCCAGGCCTGGCCCCCTCCCCTTCCCTTCCCCATCTCTACCTATACCCCCATCTCTGTCACCATCCCCAACTCAATCCTCATGCCTGTCCCCATCCCTCCACCAACCCCAACCCCATCTCCATCCTTATCTTCTCGCCCATCCCTGTGACAATCTCTGCTCAAGGTCAAAGCAAGCCGTTCTCTTGCATGCCCGATGGCTGGGATGGACCCCATGGCTGCAGGAGCAGTGTCCTGTCAAAGACAGCCAGCCAGCTGCAGACACAGGCATAAAGTCCATGCGGCCAGCTTCCTGGACGCGAACAATCCCAAGTTCCAAGTTGGGCGCCAGAACGAACAGCACAAAGCAAGGTCGCCTGGCTGTGATCCAGGTGGCATATAGTGGCAGGGAATCATCAACAAAGACCCTCGGCTGGCCAATCTCTCTCCCACTCTTCTGTGACAGTGTCCAATGCCCCCACCATGTGTGCCTTGTCCCATGGACTTTGAGGGTGATTCATCAGATATGTCTGTGCTAGGGCAATGATCTCCTGGGGGGCGGGGCAGGGAGTTGCATCCACCTGCAGCATACACCCGGAGGACCCTCCTCAGCTGGAGAGACACCAAGCAGGCATATTTGGCTCGGGGAGGAGATAAATAATAGCAGTAGTAGTGGTTGTGGTAAGAACCTAGACACGGGCACAGCTTCTTTGCATTGTGTGCCTTGTATGACTGGCAGGGAGGAGTGTCCCATTCATTTTACAGGTCCACCACCACAGCCAAAGGCAACCACCATGAAGCTCCCCTGAATCTCCTGACCACAAGTCAAGTCAGTGGACGTCCCAGTTTATTTTTCACTTTGCCTTTAGGCAGAAAGATTTGCTGCTCGAAGTTCCTTTGACTGGTTTTGTCCGGAATCAGGAAAAGGTAAAGTGGCTTCCCACCTGACTTAGCTGCACAGGATGGCTAACCTCTATTACCCTGCTCTGCGGCCATCACGGGAAGCAGGGGTTGAAGTTATTTGAGACTCAACAGTTAACATCGACACAGTGAGGTAATGGTCGGGTGATCGGTTTTATGAAATTAACTCTGAAATATTGCCTGTCTTCATCTTGAAAGCAGAACTTTGTTTCGATCATCGTAACTCACTTTAGAGATAATGTGATGGCTCTTTGCTCTGTAAA